CCATTAACATGCCGCCGAACGACAGGCCATGTGTTGATGGTCACTGGAGCTGGGTGAAGGGCTGCTGGTGCATACTATTCTATTTTTATTCATGTTTGAATTTTTCCATAAAAAACAAGTTGTTGGGTTTTTTTTAATGTTGTTAATTACCATGAGCCTATAGAAGGAGAGAAATTCTACAGTGTCCCCAGAACACACTTTGGGAGATTTCAAGTCATTTAAGGTCAATGCTGGAGACACACCTCAGTGTATGTTGTCAAGATGCAGCCACCTCAGGGCTGGCCCATGGCTCACTTGGGAGACCGTGGTGCTGACAACACCAAGTCAAGGTTTAAGATCCCCTTACCAGTCATCTTTAAAAAAAAAAAAAAAAGATGCAACCACCTCAACATTCAGATCATTGGCAAATTTCTGTACATCAAATCAAGGGTTTCCTGAGCTCCGGGGCTGTAGCTCCCGGTTTTCTCCTCCTGATAAAGTGCGAGCTATGCCCTGCTTCCCCTGGCACAATCTCAGTCAGGCTCTGTCCTTTATCCTACAGAGGGAAAATCCTACACTCACAGCTGAGGTCATGCGGCCCAAGGCTTCAGAATGGAGACACACATACCCTCATGGCCCACATGATCCCGAAGACCCTAACCAAGGCCTTCTTCAGTCTAACTCCTTGCTTTCGTAGGTCTTCTGCTTCTCCTAACAGATGGATGCTTCCCTGAGTACCATTGCCATGAGGTTCTCTCACCCACAGATGGATCCATAAAACCAGGGAGCTGGGGATTGATTCTCATGGGGCAAGATGGCAGTGCTAAAGATGGGGATCACAACCAAACTGGGCCACACAGTCTGAAAATAACACTTTATGTAAAGACGTCCTTTACGGTGGTGTAGCTCACATCGTGAACCTCCCTGCCGCCTCGCCCCCAGGAAAACATGAGTAGAGTCGGGTGAGAACCCCATAAGGGACAGCCTGGAATCCAACTGGTGATGAGGTCTAAGGGCGATGGAGGATGTGGAAAGGTCAGGCTGGGGTGGGGGCAGAATGGCGCCCAGTCATCCAAACTGGCCTAGAGTCAACGTGCTGAACTCCTGGCTCCATCGAAGGACAAGGTCCTCACTTTTGCTTGAGCTCAACACGTTGTAAGTCTCATTCTCCTGACATCTCATGCGGGACACCTACATGGGATTCAGAGCATATAGTTTGTGTCACAGAGCCAGGTGCCAGGAATGTGGAGGTGGGGAGGTGTCAGAAACCCCACAAGAACTAGAGGTGGGCAGGCATGGGCACAGGGCAGGAGACCGAGGAGGAGACGGAGGAGACACCAAGTAGCCCAACCCCCTCCTTTCAGAAATGAGGCGTTCAAGGCTCAGAGGGGAAGTGACTTATCCCAGGCTACTTGGTGAGTAAGAACAGGAGGTGAGAGTGAGACCCCCACATCCAACTCCCAGCCCGGCTGAGGTTCTTCCTGTGGCCCTCAGGGCCCTCACCTCTTATTTCTCTGCAGCATCCCCCTGCCCCCCAAGCCCAGTCCCGCCTGGGAGGGCCTCGCTTACTCCAGGCCTGGAGGAGTGGAGAAGAGTGCTCTGGTGGAGGCCTCTGCCCCAGAAGTGCCAGGACGGGGCTGCCCTCCACACCCCTGCTGCTTGCAGAGGGGCTCGGTATGGACCAGCCTGTGGTACTGATTGAGGGGACTGGAGGGAGCAGGGGCATGGGGGACGCTCACCTTCCGATTCCGGTTTCTCATCAGACACTGTTGGCTTTTGAAGGAACAGTAGTTCGGGTACTGGACGTAGTCTGTGTCACAAATCTAAGTCAAGAGCCAGGGAGAGGGAGGGAACGGAGGTCAGAAGCCTCACAAGACACCAGTCCTCCAGGGAGTACCCCAAGGGCAGAACCAGGAGCATGGGGTGGCCCTCGAGAACCAGACCTTCCGCACCTGGGGTGCTCCATCACTGTGCTTCCTGAGGAATGGGCCTCTTTGTCCCCTCAGCCTTCCCCTCCCACCCTCAGTTGCAGGTTGCTGGGGAGAAGACAGGAGGCTGGGATAGTAAGAAGAGGCTGTCATCCCACTGGTCAGCTTGCTGGGAATGTAGCTGAGGAATGGGGAATGCAGAGGGGGGTGGTTATGGATCCAGAACAAGGGAAGGGGACCCAATTGGTGGCACAATATCAGGGATCCTTATGGTGTTGGTAAGTGAGGGAGGTGTTGGTAAGTGAGGGAGAGGGTAGAATAATCTCTAATGCGTGACAGCGGGTGAATCACTTCCCTTTTTGGCCCTTGCGTCCCCATCTATAAATCCAAGGGTGTGGCTGACATGACCTCTGAGACCCCTTCCAGATCTAGGGATCGAGGGACAAGAGCTGGACTCAGATACCAGCCCTTTCTTAAGCTGTCTCTACTTTTCCTTGCCTTGGTTTTTCCAGCTAAACTACAGAAGAGAGGGACCTGGCTCTCCGCAAAAACAGGTCATAGCACACGGGAGGTACCTTTGGGAAGAGGGGGAGCCAAGTTGATTTCGTTGAGCAGGGAAAGCACTAGAAGAGCTGAGGAAGGAGGCTGACAGACTGAGGAAGGAACGTACTCGGTCACAAGGCTGGGCAGCACCTCACGCATCACCTAGTCTTTTATTGCAGAGATGAGTATCACTTTGGCTCAGATAGGGAAGTGGCTTGACCACAGCCAGTCAGCAAGTAACTGGTAGAGCTAGGGCCAGAGCTGTTTCCTGCCTCCAAGTTCTGTGCTTTCCTGCCCCTCTGGGTTCCTACTCCTTTGCCAAATATAATTCTGCTCTACTGGGGCCGGGGG